ATCACATGAGCTTCAGCTAGGGTGGGCAAAGCTCCTTACGCATACTACTTCGGTATTTGTTAGCTTGTGTGAGTATTAGGCCTAGTGTAGCTATACTAGGGAGTTTTAAGCGACAGTAAAATTAGCTGATTTAAAACCATTCTAGAATGTAATGTAAACACAGATGCCACGTGCACTACCAAGCTCAGGAAACACAATTAAGAGCTCGATACGGACCGAATTTCAGCGCAGTTAATCCGAACCGATTCGCAAGATGGCTCTCAGCCGGAGTAATATCCTTTTCACCTTTCATCTCTGGACGTCACCGAACTACCCTGAGTTTTGCACAGTAGTTGCCCACTTGATGGCCAAAGCTTTACATTTGCATAGTACTGTACTAGGATTAGAGAGGTTCCGCTGCAGGCACACAGGAGCGAACCAGGCCAAGCACGTCTGGGACATCTTTAAAGCAGATAAGATTACTGAAAAAATAGGCTATTTCACACACAATACTGCCACCAATAACGATTCCCCACTCGAGCATATTGCCCGGCATCTACAGGATGTCGGAATTGATTTTAATCCAGTTCAAAGGAGTTTGCGCTGCTTTGGTGCTGTGATAAATTTAATGGTAAAGGCCTTTCTTGGGGAAACAAATTCGGCTGCATTTGAAGCAGAAATTAACACACATTATGAGAAGGAACAAGAGGCGGAGGAGCTGGAGGCATGGAGGCAGAAAAGGCCACTAGGTAAGCTACACCATATTATTACATGGATTTTCGCTCTCTACTCAACGGCGGGAAAGGTTGGAAGAAAAGGTGTAGTACCTTCCTGGGGCGGATACCAAGGGCGTAGCTTTGATTCGAGGAAATACCACACGGTTGGAAGGGGATTACGAGTCACGCACTAGGGCCTTTATGTTGCGTGAGCCCTTAAAAGAATTTGTAGCCTCTTCGATCCGAAGAAATGAAAATAATGTTAATTAATCGGCTCCCAACGTCACACAAGTATGATGAATTGAGTATATCAGATTAGGATACCTTACATGTAACTGGAACGGGAACTTGGTTAAGGGTTTTATTTTATGTTTTGTTTTAAGTATTGTTTGATACTTGGTGTGTTTTATGTTATCATTTGAAACTTGGTTTGGTTTTATGATTGCTTTAAGTATAGTTTTGATACTAAGTTGTATTACCAAACTGTATTACTTGATATCTTTAATTAGATTTGTTCATGCTAGACATGATCAGATTTATGTATTTAAAGACCGCCTGATGCTACGATGGAAAAGGCAGACTTAGACAGACAGTATTTCAACATACTTGGTTGAATGGTTACTGATTTGTTTTCTCACTACACCTTTGAAGCCTCCTTTAGTTCTCAGCTCTCGCCTCCTCTCTAGTAGAGCAGGCTACCTGTCAACTATTGTACCTATTGCTGATAACATGATTAGCACCTTGCAAACATGTTACCTTACTGTGAATTGTGGACATTCCAGAATCTTTTCATATGTGGCAATTAATGCTCCAGCAAAAGGAACACTACAGCGAGTTGCATGACATCTGTACAGTGATGAAGGAACTATTGGAACAGCTCGAATAATTGAAAAGGTTATTTGAGTCTATCTCACAATAGTATGATACCCAACATATTCAGAACTCAATTAACTCTGCCTGGCTTGTACTTAATATGTAAGTACTGCCATCGATTTCACATGTTGTATTTTTTGTTGTTACAACTAACTAATAATGTAATGTGTTTGCAAGTTGCTAATCATGTGATTGGTAACTGGTAAGATAGTTGGCAGGTAGCCTGTTCTATGAGAGAGGTGGCAAGAGCTGGAAACAAAAGGAGGCTTTGAGGGTGTACTGTGAAACAAAGATGTAACAATTCAATCAAGTATATTGAAATACTGTCTGTTGAAGTCTGCCATTTCTATTGTAGAAACAGGAGGTCTTAAAGGAAGACAAATTGTAACGATTGCTCCTTGGATAGTTAGTTCTTGGCGATGGAGAACGATACCTTTCTTCTTCTTCTGTTTCTTTCCTTAGTCTTATGATAGCGCTAGGCCTCTGCCTACATTACCAATAGTACAAGACCTTTGTCTTCTATCAGGAATGTCTATTGTAAGCTTTCTCTAACTCTTCTTCATGAAGAGCTTTCCTTGGCGTAACGATAACGTTGCAATAAAGATAAAGATTCTAAAGGTGTTTTATATTCGTTAAAGTAACAAGTAGGAAAAGTACTTAGAACAAAGCGTGAAGAACCTATCCTTCTTGGCTGCATCGGCCTCCTTTTATAGTGTTCTTCCCACCCATAATCATGTGACCCAAAGTGGTCACATGTGCAAAACCAAATCATAACCAACTAATCATGTGACCAAAGTGGTCACACGCTCAAAACACATGACCTCATAGCAAGGTCATGTGTGAAAACTCATAAATCAATCATAATGCAATAAACAAGTCATA